GCAATGCCTGCAAGGCCCTGCACCGACTTGGCGCATGCTGGGCGGAGGGTGCGCGGACGATGGCCGTATATCCCAAGCACAGTGCCCCCGTCGTGCCCGGCCCGCGCAATGGCTCCCTCCCAGTGCAGCGACGCGCTACGCGGTGCGGTGGTGCTCGGCACGAACGCCGCAGTGTCGCTGGCGATGGCGGACGGCAGCTTGTACGCACACTGACATGCCGCAGAAAGGAAGCTTGAGCTTTTTATGGTGCTCTTGTTTGTTTTTGTTTTTTTACGGTGGGGTGGAGTGGTAGCTTGCTGTTTGAACGGCCCGTGGTGACCAGTTTTTATTGTACTGTTTTACTTTTCTGTGGTTGATTCATTTCTTGCTTCGTTTTTTTTATTGTTTTGCTTATGAGCTGATTGACCCCCTCGCCCTCTTCCTTTGAAGGGCACCTGAAGTTGTGCGCGCGTCGCCGTGTTTTTCACGTGTGCTGCTCGCCCAGCCGCGCCGGGAGGCACGCATTGGGCGATGCTGCCCCACACGGAGGTTGCGTGAAGTTGCCGCGTTGTCGTAGTGCCTATTTGTCTTGATACGGGTGTTGAATCGTTGTCGTGTCCGCGTTTATTTATACATTTCCGCTTAGATGAGATTTGCGTGTTGTTGTGTCAGTGTGTGGGCTGTTTTTTTTTCTGCTGCGCGTTTGCGTTGCGCACTTGGCATGTTTTCCCTTGCTTTCTTCTTTGCTTGGCGTCGTGGCGCCTGCAGCCTTGACGAAGTCTTCTCGTTGCTTTGTTTTCGGTGCTGGCGCTGTGTCTTGCCGCGTGCCCGTTTGCTGCTGAAGAATTTTGTCGTGTGATGACGTCTGTGGCTCACAAGGCTGGCGACGACGGGGGGGGAGGCGTGCGGTGGTACGAGTTCCGCCTGGCCGCGACGTCGCCCCGCCCCTCGCAGAGCGCGCTTGAGCGGGCGCTGTCGTCGCTGTCTGGGGTGTCTGTGCTCGGCGTCAGCGTCCGGGAGGAGGACGCGGCGATTGTCGTGAAGACACCGTGGACCAGTGAGCCGCTCGGGCGGCGGTTCCACGACGCCATCGTCGCCCTCGGCTACGACGTTATCGCGGATGCCCCGGTGGAGAGCCGGTTTATTATTGAAGGCATGACATGTGCGTCGTGTGCCGCGCGGATTGAGTCCCACGTGCGGAGTCTGCACGGTGTGGAGAAGGCGTCGGTAAACTTTTCGGCGATGACGGCCCTCATTGTGCACAATCCACAGCTGGTGTCAGCCAGGGACCTAAGGGACGAGATTGTCGGCATGGGGTACCAAGTTAAACTGCGGCGGACACCAGGAAGCACGCGACGGCCACCAGCAGGGTCGTTGAGCCCTGTTGAGGGGAAGCTGACTATAGTTGGGCTGTCGTCGGCGGAGTCCGCAGCGCGCGTTCAGGCGTGCGTCCGGCGCTTAAGTGGGGTGAGGGACTGCCTCGTCGACTTCTCGACGGGGGTCTGCAAGGTGGCGCTGGAGCGGGAGGGTCTTCTTCTGTCTGTCGGGGAGACGATTGCCTCCATGGGGTACGCAGTCTCCGTGTCGCAGCTTGAGGGCGCCCCAGATGCGGTGTTTGTTGACGATATGAGGGAGGCCTTGGAGCGGACAGGAGAAATTGCGGAGCAGAAGGAACGGTTTGTGGGTGCCGCGGTGCTGGCAACGCCGCTGGCCCTAATTATGCTTCTCATGGCGACAACAAATGTCATGGCTGGCTCGAGGAGGATGATTTTTTTAGATTTTGTGCAGCTGGCTATCTCGACACCGATTGTGTTTCACTACGGCTCCGTGTTTTTTGTCCACGCATGGCAAAGCCTGAGGCACGGAGTTTTTACGATGGACACGCTGGTGGCCATTGGGTCTGGTTGCTCCTACGCCTACTCCCTGGGGGCGTGTATTATGATGCTTCTAACGCAGCATCACCTGGCCACGTACTTTGATGCCGCGGGTATGCTGATTGCGTTCATGCTGCTGGGCCGCTTTCTGGAGGCGCGGGCGAAGCGCAGCACGAGCGATGCACTCATTGAGCTAATGAACCTCGTGCCACCCGTCTCCATCGTCGTGACCGCGCAAGGTGACGTGACCGTGCCGTCCTCGCTGGTGGAAAAGGGAATGCGACTCCGCGTGCTGGCTGGGGACCGGATCCCGGTTGACGGCACCGTCGTGGAGGGAATCTCCGACGTGGATGAGCAGATGGTGACGGGTGAGGCGGTCCCCAAGGCGGTGCGGCCAGGCAGTGCCGTGATTGGCGGGACAACAAACATGACGGCAATGCTGCTGGTGGACGCGAACAAAATAGGGGAGGAAACCATGCTGTCTCAGATCCTGCGCTGTGTGCAAGAGGCACAGAACAGCAAACCCGAAATTCAGCGCATTGCCGACAGATTAGCCACGTACTTTGTACCTTTTGTTATCAGCTTCTCAGTGAGCGTCTTTTTCGTTTGGCTCTTTCTTGGTGTCTTTAAGCTTTACCCACCAGCGTGGCGCGGGGGTGGCGAGACCGTCGTAATGTTTGCGTTTGAATTTTTTATTGCTTCCGTGGTGGCGGCCTGCCCCTGCGCCCTGGGACTTGCGACGCCGACCGCCATCATGGTGTGTACCGGCGTCGGGGCGAAGACGGGCCTCTTGGTGAAGTCCGGGAAAACGCTGGAGGCCGTGCATCACTCCCGCTGCATCGTCTTCGACAAGACCGGCACCATCACCAACGGGCGGTTGGAGGTCGTCTTTAAGAGATGCTGGGGCGGCGACGCCGATGCGGTGGTCAAGCTGGTGGGGTTTGTGGAGCAGCTCTCGAACCACCCCGTGGCGAAGGCCGTGGCGGGCGGGATTCTTGCGGCGCCCGGCCCGGCGGAGGCGTACGACGTGGTGTATTCTAAAACCCACAGCGGCCTCGGCGCCGAGGCCGTCGTCCGCCGCAAGAATCCCGCCGGCGCCGAGGTGCGGGTGCACGTCGGCAACCTTGCGCTGATGCGCGAGGCGAAGATTGAGGTCCCCCTGGAGGTTGAATGGACGGTGCGGCAGCAGAACAGCCTGGCGAGGACCACCATCGTCGGGGCCGTCGATGGCGTGGCGCGGCTCGTGGTTGCGCTCGCGGACCAGCCGAAGCGGGAGGCGGCCGGGGTGCTACACTTTCTGCAGCAAGAGGGCGCCCAGGTGCTTTTGGTCACGGGCGACAACAAGAGCGTGGCGGCGCATGTGGCGAACGCCGTTGGCATTCCGCCTGAAAACGTCTACGCCGAGAGGCTTCCCACGGCAAAGGCAGACATTGTACGGCAAATGCAGTCCGAGGGTCACTGCGTCATCTTCGTTGGTGACGGAATCAACGATAGCCCGGCACTGGCGCAGGCCGATGTGGGGATTGCGCTCGGTGCCGGAACTCAAATCGCCATTGAAGCCGCCGATGTGGTACTCGTAAGCAACAGCCTCGTTGACATCCTGAACCTGCGGGCTCTTTCCATCACCACCGTCCGACGCATATACGGCAATTTTTTCTGGGCATTTGGCTACAACTTTTGCATACTTCCCTTTGCAAGTGGAATGCTATACCCACTCATCCATGTACGTCTGCCGCCCATACTGGCCAGTGCGGCGATGGTGTGTTCCAGCCTCGCCGTTCTCCTGTCTAGCTTGTCCATTAGGTGTTTTAAACCCTACAAAGCAGATCAGTTTATTGAGCAAGCGTAGCCAACCCAGATGCAGAGAAATAAAACCCCCCAAAAAAAAAGTGCGATAATTACTTATACAAATATCCGTATGTGGCTACGCACACCTCCAATAGTAAACTTTATATTACACAGTCGCTAATAGTACTTGTATAAAATTTTCAGGATGTTGCACAAAAGGTGCTTGTCATTTCTTACTGCTTTATGCTCTATGTGTATCACAGTCGTCGACCGGGCCATTACCACTTCTCTTCCGCCTCAGCTTCACTTCAAAACGAAGACCGAGAAAGAGTACAACAAAAACACAATGGTGCCCCCCTTACGGCTGTCGAGGCGAGCAATGCCTGCAAGGCCCTGCACCGACTTGGCGCATGCTGGGCGGAGGGTGCGCGGATGATGGCCGTATATCCCAAGCACAGTGCCCCCGTCGTGCCCGGCCCGCGCAATGGCTCCCTCCCAGTGCAGCGACGCGCTACGCGGTGCGGTGGTGCTCGGCACTAACGCCGCAGTGTCGCTGGCGATGGCGGACGGCAGCTTGTACGCACACTGACATGCCGCAGAAAGGAAGCTTGAGCTTTTTATGGTGCTCTTGTTTTGTTTTTGTTTTTTTACGGTGGGGTGGAGTGGTAGCTTGCTGTTTGAACGGCCCGTGGTGACCAGTTTTTATTGTACTGTTTTACTTTTCTGTGGTTGATTCATTTCTTGCTTCGTTTTTTTATTGTTTTGCCTAT